AATTCTATTCTATTCTATTCTATTCTATTCTATTCTATTCTATTCTATTCTATTCTATCCTATCCTATCCTATCCTATCCTACTCTACCCTACCCTACCCTACCCTACCCTACCCTACCTTGCCCTATCCTATCCTATCCTATCTTATCCTATTTTATCCAATCCATAGTTGCCTATTCAGGGTTAGTCAAGCAAGGGAGAATTTATCCCTTTCTGCCCCTTAGATACAGGGGAATACCACCTCAAATACAATCACACTCTGCATCAGTGGCTTATTTTTACATGTCTGTTTCCAAAATTCTAGTTCTTTCTTACTTTCCTCCCCCCCCCCACCCCATTTCTTAGTGCTTTCATCCGGATGCTTTTCCCAGAAAAACTTGATGCAGACAAAAAAGGACGGCCCACTACAGCTGGATCCAAAATTAAGGTACATTTGGACATTGTGGCAGATAATTTTATGTACTAAGCTTAGTATCTGTTATTTAATTCATGCATGATGAAATAAGTAAATAAATAAGTACATAAATAAAATAAAAAAATTCCATTGGATTAGAGCTATTATTTTCTTTTTAATTTGTTCCCCAACAACTGATGCTAGGAACCAATTGAGGGCAATAAAAGCAATCTCCGTAGCTTGTCAATCAACAGGTCTAGTGGTTAAAGCATTAGGCTATGAACTGGGAGACTGTGAGGTCCAGTCTTTCCTTAGACATGAAAGCCAACTGAGTGACTTTGGGCCAATCACTCCTCCTTAATCTAACCCACCTTGCAGGGTGGTTGTGGGGAAATTGGGAGTATGTTTGTCTATGGAGATTCTCAGTCATCCAGGTCATGGAGGTCAAGATCAAGGTGCTTTTTCGAGAGGCAACTGGAGTTTCTGGTTTTTCCTTGAAGACATTTCGCTTCTCATCCAGCTGAAGCTTCTTCAGCTCTGACTGGATGGTGGGGACTGGAAGGATTCATCACCTATCTCCAGTCTGCAACACAGTCCTTTCAAGAGTTCCAAGAAGACTCCACAACCCATTTGCACCATTCTGGTGACCCTGAGGAACACAGATGAACATCCAGGTGGCCTCAAGGACACTCTAAAAAGGTTGCAAATGACCAGCTATCCGCAAGGAATATAAATCCTTCCATTCCCCACCAAGCCTAGCCAGCCAGACAAAGAGTTTTAAAAACAGCTTCTGCCCATGGGCTGTCAGACTCCTAAACACAATCACAATCACAATCACTGGACTACTGCAACGTGCTCTACATGGGGCAGCCCTTGAAGAGCATTCGGCGACTTCAGCTTGTCCAGAATGCAGCCGCGCGAGCGATCGTGCGTGCATCTCGGTTCACCCACGTAACACCTATCCTCCGCGAGCTGCACTGGCTGCCTATTGGTTTTAGGTTTAGGTTTAGGTTTA